ACCAGGGGTGGGCAGGCAGGTTCAGCAAGGCAGGATCCAAGTGTGGAGGGGCTTAGTGTGAGGGGATCCAGGTGTGAATTGAGAGGGTTCTGTGTCAGGCAATCTGGGTGTGGGCAGCTCAGTGGAGGATCCAGGTGCGGGGCGAATCTGGATGCACAGGGGCTTATTGGAGGGTTCTGGGTGCAACAGTAATGGGACTCTGCAGGGGGGTCCAGGTGAAGGTGGTTGGGGCTCAGCGGATCTGGGTGTGGGGGGGATAGAGTTCAGCAGGAGATCTGTGTATGGGGGGCTCAGCGGGGGGGTCGGGATCCAGGTGCAGGGGGAGTGGGACTCAGTAGTGTGGGGATCCGGGTGCGGGTGGCTCGTTGGGGTGGTCAACGTGCAGGGGGAGTGGGGCTCACTGAGGGGGGTTCTCGGTGTGTGTGTGGGTCAGGCTCAGCAGGAGGGTCTGGATATGAGGATGTGGATGCACAGGAGTTGGACGGATGGGGGGCAGCTCCCTGTACAGTGATCCCTCCCCCTGCAGCTGGGGAGCGATGGGTGCAGGAAATGCTGAGGGGTGGGGAGTTTGCAGAGCTTTCTACAGCCGGGGGAGAAATCTGGGGGTGGGTCTGACCTGGACGCAGTGCAGGGGAAGAGGAAGTCCCATCCTCCCCAGCCCAGCCGGGACTAGCAGCTAAGCCCGGTGCAGGGTAGGAGCCACCAGACATGTCTTCCCCAGTCCTGCCCCCACCCCACAGTGATTTGCCTCTCTGCTGGCTGCCCTGGGCACCCGAATCATACTGCTGGGGAGGGTCACATGACCGCTTTTGTGGCTTCTCTTTGCTTCCCTGTCAGAAAGTCATTCCCTTACTCCTGAGGGCATTCTGTGCCAAAAAATTAAAAATTATGCGCACAGTATTTTAAAATTCTGCAAATTTTATTTGTCAAATAAATGTGGAGGCTCCAGCATGGCATTGGGGAGAACAAGCCACTGACTGCACAGAGGGTTGCATGAAAGTCATTTTTCTGCAGGGAAACAAAGAAATCTGTGGGGGACATAAATTCTGCACATGCACAGTGGCACAGAATTCCCCCAGGAGTAACACCTGCAGAGTAAAACAGCCAAAGCTGAGAGCCCTGTGCGGGACTATTTTTAATCCCACTCCCATCTCACTCCTGCTATTATGGCAGCAGGTTCTGTGGGACCCCAGTCCCATTAAATAAAATAAAATAAATAAATTAATGGAGATGTCCTATCTCCTAGAACTGGAAGGGACCTTGAAAGGCCATCGAGTCCAGCCCCTGCCTTCACTAGCAGGACCAAGTACTGATTTTGCCCTAGATCCCCAAGTGGCCCCCTCAAGGATTGAACTCACAACCCTGGGTTTAGCAGGCCAATGCCCAAACCACTGAGCTATCCCTCCCCCTATATTGCAGAGCTCTAGGCTAAGGCTTCCCTTTCTTGCTGAGGAGTCCCCTTTAGATGGGTGCAGGGGAATAACCACAGTGTAAGAGGAGGGGTGCCTGATGCATGACCAAAAGACATGTTTACAGAGACTGGTGGGAGGCTATAGAACCAGAGGGCATAGAGGAGGCAAGGGGCATTTGTGCAGATGCTCTTGCCTCCTGGAGATCTTGCCGTTAAAGGTGCATCACCCTTGGCTTCTTTCGGGAGGGGCAGGAGGCACAAACCCTGCTCTTCCCAATAGGAGAATTCAAAGGAAGCTCCACATGTTGAAAAGCAGGGAGTTCTCTTTCCTCCGCATGATTTATTCTCATGGAGGGGAGGACAAGGCCCTGAAATGGGCTGGGGAGTGATGTCCTCTGCAAACATGTACATTTTTGTGATAAATGGAACCCTGGCCCTTTCATCACATCGGCCCATAACACTGCAGAGGAAGGAGTGAGGAGGGAATAAAAAGGAGAACAGCAATATTAAGCTCAGCATATTACTTTCCATTTCAAAATGGGCAAAGCAGAAACAGGGAAATATGTTCACTATTAAATTTACAACCTCTTTGCATTCCAATCATAGTTAGTAATTTCACATTAAAGAAGAATAAGTTATCATTCACCACTTATTGCCTGAAGGTCACATAGTCCAAACAACACAAAGTCAAAGTACAAGCTGTCTCATGAACTGTACATTGAAAAATCAAGTTGCACTTGGCCTATTAAGTGTAGCACATGCTAATCTCTGTTTACAGCTTTGATCTCTTATCAGCTAAATTCCTCATTACAACACTCTGGCCCCACAGACACAAACACACATACATTATTGAAAGAATATGGTATGCATATTCATGAATATCTAAAATTTTAGAAGTAGTGCCCACAAGTACCACTGCAGAGATGTGTCACATAGTAATTAACCTGAACGTCCATTCGGTGTGGGGTTAATTACTTGGATTGGTGTGTAGTATTCTGATTATCTGCTCTGAAGAGGTATGCTTTTTTTTTTTTTTTTTTTAAACTTGCTGTCAAGAGCTGCCTCCTACATTTTTGTCCTCTCTCCGAAATCTAAGGCTCAAGATAATATTCTATCCTTCAAAGTGCTCTTCGCAACAGGAAATTTTGAGATTATATCAGGAGGGAAATAAATAGTATTACTTTTTCCCCCTCCCCCTTTCTCTTTTTCTCTAGCAGATTTTTATCCCTTCAATGCCATACTCCCAGGCATACCAAAGGCCAGTTCTGTATAGGGACAGAAACAACATAAAATCTAGTCAGGTTCTAAAAGGCAAGTTAAAATTAGTTCTAGCTACTGGTTCTACACCTCCCCCTAGTCCCCCTGCTGTTGTGTGTTTGTACAGAGCCTAGCACAGTAGATCCTGGTTTGTGACTGGGGCTCCTATGTGCTACCACAATACAAATAATAATAATGATGATAATTAATAAATAAAATGGAACTACTCATGCTTAAAATTAAGCATGTGCATAAATATTTGAATGTCTGGGGCCTAAATAACTGACTACATAGAGGAAAACAGAGACTCGCAAAGTAAATAAATAGAGACTTTTTTCTAAATTCTTTCGGTTACAGTAATTTTAGATTTTACTTGTAAGACTAGTACATAAAAAGTTTCTGGAAGAAACATGATTTCATCTTTTAAGTGATGTCTGAGACAGGTTGCCATGTCTGCATACAAGCCTCCCTCTGATTGACAAAACTGTTTACCTAGGGGCATTCCACAGCTGTTAGCATGAATCATTTATCATATAATCTATAGAGGGGATTTAAAATAATCATTAACCAGAGAAAAAACTGCCTTAATAAGCAGCAAGGCTTTTAGGGACTTGTTTATGGTATGTGCTTTATGAACACAAATGTTTTATTACCCCACAACAGAAGAGAAAGTCAGGATAAATGAAGACAACAAAGTATGCATGCAATGCTCATAAAATAATGTTGTTCCTCTACTGTGGTCAGATTTGTGAGCAATGCTGTATACCTGCACTATTGAGAAAAGTGTGAGCTATTCAGTCATTAAAAGACACAAGAATCCTGAACCTATCAGTCTCATAATCATCTCCAAGCTGTTGAAGGTGAGTCACATTCTCCTAACACTTTGCCCACTCAGTAGATCTTATCAAGGATTTAATAGGTTTTAAAGACATCTGTTGAAAATTAAACATAAAGGGTCTGATTCCCCACTGCTTTGCACCTTTTGCCATCACTTATATTGGGGCAAAGTGAAGATAACTAAATCAGAATGGCAGCATTTTACACCTACTCTGCACAGGTATAAATGATGACATAAGGTGGAAAGCAAGGGGGAATCAGGCCCTAAATATTTACATTCCTCCCAACCTTTCATTTGTATAGATGCATCCAAAACTAAAATACACCAACTGATGACAACACTTTACAATGTCATTGTGACACTCTGCACTCCAAAGCAACACCCTGGCACCCCCATATTTACTATGGTGATATGATTATGGGATGTTTTGTACAAAGTATGCCTTGTAAGGTATCATTCTAAAAGTCTTGATCTGTTGAACATTAATATCCTGTTGGATTGTATGTGCTATCATTGTATGGGAAGTTTTGAAGTTTTGCTATGTGTGTGTTACTGAAATATGCTGCGAAGTCGGAAACACCCACAACCAGCCTTTCAGGTACAACAATGAAGTAGCCAGATGCATTGATGGCTACTGTAATATGCAGTCTGCTGACATGTTGCCAGGGAGTCTCTGCTCCTGGGAGCTGCCCTAGGATGACCAGACAGCAAATGTGAAAAATCGGGACAGGGGGTTGGGGTAACAGAAGCCTATATAAGAAAAAGACCCAAAAATTGGGACTGTCCCTATAAAATCGAGACATCTGGTCACCCTAAGCTGCCCATGTCTTCTGGCCGTTGTGCTCTTCCTTTCTCATTTTTTTGGACGGGGGGAAGAAAACCTGCTGGGGACTGGTGCAGCTGATACTATATATATATATAGAATATCAGGGTTGGAAGGGACCTCAGGAGGTCATCTAGTCCAACCCCTGCTCAAAGCAGGACCAATCCCCAGACAGATTTTTGCCCCAGATCCCTAAATGGCCCCCTCAAGGATTGAGCTCACAACCCTGGTTTTAGCAGGCCAATTGCTCAAACCACTGAGCTATCCTTCCACTATAGTAGAGTTTCTGCTTGAAGTGGTGGTTGGTTCTTCCCCAAATGATTGACCAGCAGGAAAATTATGTAAACTCTCCTTTTCTGCTAGCTCCATTTCAGAGGTTGGCTTGGGAGAAAAAACACGCAGGCTGAACAACTTTACCCTACCCTGACCTGGCACTTCAGATCAAAATGTAGATGCTAGGACCTATAACCACTGCACAGTTTACTTCAGATTACAGATGACATATTGTCTACGGAACATGAAGTCTTGGACATCGCTGATGTAAAGGGGTACAACTACCCACAACCTGCACCATATTATGCATGCACAGTTCCCAGCTTCTTAGCCATTAAAAATACTAACACACACAGGTCTCTCCCTATTGAAAACTCTAAACAAAATACTCCACTTACTGTTTTTGAGGTAGCACAGGGAGTTGGCATCACCGTGGGAGGCTTGGCTGCATTTTGGGGTGGAGGCAGAGTAAACCTCTGCCCTGTGTCCGGAGGAGAAGAGTGAATCCGGGTTTCTAGTCTCTCAGGTTCATGTTTATAGGATTCAAGAGGAAATGGAGGCTGCTTGGTCACTTGTGTTGGGGTAGATGGAGAAGAGGAGAGGCCGGAGGCTGTAAACAAAGGAATCATTATTAAAGTGCAGGTCAAAACAAGAGCGGAGAAGAATCTAAGCTGAAAACTGAGCCTGCACTTGCTCAGCCAATTTTTCTATCCTTCCCTCAAAAAAACAAATACACATCTCGTCCTCCTGTTTCTAAAGGGGATTTCCTCCTCCCTCTGCTTAAAACTTAAATAATTCAAATGTATCCTGTGTATAATCCATTATACAAGGAGGTAGCATTGTGTAGTGGATAGAGCAGAGAACTGGGAATCTATTCCCAGCTTTGCCACTAGCTTGTATCACCTTGGACAAATCACTTTGCCTTCCTGTGTCTCTATTTTCCTGTCTGTAAAATGGGGATAACAGGAGCTATCTATCTTGAAAAGCATGGACATTTGCAAATGACAGAAGCCATGTAAGTGTACAGCACTATTATTACTTTTAATATCCACACTGATCTCAGAATGACAATATCTATATGCAAGGAGCTCAACAGCTTTAAATATTTTTATTTTTTTCCTTCATTTTATCATCAAAGAAAAATCCAAGTCAGCAGTTAAGAATAAAATTAGGAGCAAAGGTACGGGGAAGGAAAGGTTACTCACCTTGTGCAGTAACTGCAGTTCTTCAAGATGTGTCCCCCTGTGGGTGCTCCACTTTAGGTGTGCAGGCACCCGACCTTTGACTGGAGATTATTGGTAGCAGTGCCCGTTCTGCCAGCTCACATGACATCCTCATGCCCTGTACCAAGACTATATCGGGCCCTCCATTCCTCCTCTGCCGCAGAGCCCACAGAGGCAGTTTTGAAGCAGAGGGGAAGAGGTCAGGTAGTGGAGCACCTGCAGGGACACACATCTCGAAGAACTGCAGTACCTGCACAAGGTGAGTAACCTCTCCTTCCCCTTCGAGCAGTGTCCTGTGGGTGCTTGTGATGGTCCTTGCTCAGGGGTCGGTTGGTAGGGTAACGCCACGTACTGGTCATAGCTTAGGCATGTGACTTACAGGAGGGTTGTTGATAGGGGAGCCAGGACCCTCCCACTCCACTGGGCTCTGACCCAGGCCTTTTGAGGGCGATCAGTGATCTAACAGCCAGGGGATTGCTTAAGGCTGCCTTCCCTGGGCCACGTCCTATCTCCCACCTTGCGATTGTCCCAAAGTCGCCATCTGGGTTAAGATGGTGTGAAGGGTGCCCACTCATCCCAAGACACCTTCTGGTGGCAGTGTGTAGCGTGGTAGCTCTCTTCCTCTCTTGGGTGGCAACTGCCTCCTCCTGTGGTATGGACCACCCTCCTGGGCAGCTCAGCCGCAGGGCCTTCCCCTGCACGGGTAGTCCAGAGACCAAACTAAAGGAATTACCAAAGTCCAGAGTTTGTACGAGAGGGAGAGGGGAATGCTTCCCTCTCTGGCTGTTTCTGTAGCAGACCCTCCCTTGCCTCAGGGAGGGAGCTTTGGGCAGTTGTTTTGGGGAAAGATTCGGCCTTTGTCTCAGCCCTTCTCCACTGCATGTTGCAGGTCTGCTCTCTTTCCTGGTCTGCCACCAAGTGAGCTACTTCCCTGCCTTTTAACTCCTCTTCCAGTTGGTGCATTTGCTACAGGTGTGGTGGGGGTGGGGTTGGCTGAGCCCAGAGTAGTTCCTTAACCCCTTGTTGTCACAGTGTTTCATTTTAGGTGACTCCTTAGCAGTAACCATTTAAGGAGGTGGGAGTTTCAGAACACCACTGAAGAAAGAACTGCATTGCCTACTGCCGCATCTGATCTTGCAGCATGAATTAAGACATAGTGGTCGGAAAACATGTGCAACGAGGACCATGTTGCAACCCTGCAGATTTCAGCAACTGGAATGGCTTTAAGTAGGCTACAGATGTAGACTGTCATCTAGCAGAGTGTGCAATCACTCTTAGGGAGGTATAACCCCAGTGAACCCATAGCAGGCAATAATACATAGAGATCCATTTAGAAAGTGGTTGTGGCTCGCCCAGGTCAGCTGACTTGGGCTGCGGGGCTGAAAAATCTCAGTGTTCTGGTTCTGGCTGGAGCCTGAGCTCTGGAACCATGCGAGGGCGGAGGGTCCCAGAGCTCAGGCTACAGCCCAAGTCTAAACGTTTACACAGAGATTTTTCAGCCCCAGAACCCAACCCCCACTAACCCAAGTCAGCTGACCCAGGCCAGCCCAACCCCCACTAAACCAAGTCAGCTGTCCCAGGCCAGCCACAGGTTTTTTATCCCTGTGTAGACATGCCCTGAGTGGAGACAGATGCTCCCTTAGACCTCTATGCAATAGAAACAAAGAGTCTAGGGGTTTTCCAGAGTGGCTTAGTCCTGTCTAAGTAAAAGGCTAATGCTCACAATATCTAGTGTATGAAAAGCAGACGCTTGTGTTTTAGGCTGATGCAACTTAGGAAAAAAAACCCAGAAAGTGAATAGTTTGGTTGATATGAAATTCAGAGGACACCTTAGATAAGATCTTTGGATGAGGTTGTAAAGCTACCTTCTCCTTGGAAAACAAAGTAAAAGAAGGGTGGGCCATTAGAGTCTCCCATCTCCCCAACTCTCTGAATAGAAGTGATGATCACCAAGAACACTAACTTCGTAGACAGATGTAGCAGCAAGCAAGCAAGCAGCAAGATGTAGCTAATGGCTCAAAGGGTTGTTTCAAGGGCCTAGTTAAGAACTAGGCTGAAATCCCAAAATGATGTTGGGGCTCTAATCTGCAGAAAATGTCCTTTTAGGAATCTTGCAGTGGTCGGATGAGCGAATACTGAGAAACCTTCTACTGCCATATGGAAAGCTATTATTACCACTAAATGAACCTTGATGGAACTCACAGAAAGGCCTGATTTTTTCAATTCCAACAGGTAATCAAAGACTGAGGAAAGGAAGGATGGCACCAGTTACACCAATGGTTATATCGTCTCCATTTCTGAAGGTAAATTTGTCTAGTAAATTGCTTTCTGCTATTTACCAATATCTTTTGAACTTCAGATAAACATGTGGTCTCTAGTCCCAAGAACCATTGAGGAATCAAGCTTGTAGTTGCAGGATGTTCAGATTAGGATGGAGCACTTGACCTGCATTCTGAGACAACAGTCAAGGTTTGTTCAGGAGCTGCCACAGAGGGCAAAAGGTGAGTTTGATGAGGTAAGGAAACCAAATTTGCCTTGGCCAAGTTGGTGCAATCAAAATTATTTTGGCTTTATCCTGTCTGACCTTGATAAGGACCTTTAAGAGCAATGGAGTTGGAAGATATGCAGAAAGAAGACCTTTTGTCCATGTAATGAGGAAAGCATCTCCTAGAGATTGGGAATAAAGCCCCCCTCTGGAACACAATTTCCTGCACTTTGTGTTGGGTGCTGCAGTAAAAAACTTGACCTCTGGAAATCCCCAAGCTAGGAATATTTTGTTGAGGACTCAAGAGTCCAACTCTCATTCGTACTTTAGGGAGAAATCTCTGCTCAGGTCCACCATGGTGTTTTGTATACCCAGAAGGTAGGAAGATTAAATGACTAACTGATTGGCTATGCACCATTTCCAAAGCTTTATCGCTTTGGGGCAGAGCAAGGGGGAACACGCTACACCATGACAATTGATATAATACATGCATGCAAGGCTGTCATGATCTTGATAGACTTGTTTTTGAGTAGGGAAAGAAAGTGGAGGCAAGCATTTCTGACCATCCTTAATTCCAACAGATTGATGTGCAAGCACTGTTCCTGTTGTGACCATTTGTCTTGGACTGTGTGAGGACCCAAATGTGCTTCCCATCCCAAAAGGGAAACATTCAACATTACTATCACTGTAGGGGATTCTGGCTGAACAGGATTCCTGCACAAACTTTGGATGGATTCAGCCACCAGATGACTGACTTCAGGACCTGATTGGGTACAGATACTCACTTATTAATACTGTTTGTTGGGTATACAAACAGTCCTGAGCCACCCCTGAAGATACAAACGGGTGCTTTGTGTTACAAAAACACAAGCTGCCATACATAACAGCAGTTGCAGACATGTCCTTGCTGGAACTTGAGGGATGAGCTGCACTCTTTGTATATGGTTCTTCAGAGCAAGGAACCTGTCAAGAGGGACATAAACTCTTCACATTATAGGAGCACTTCTGGATTCGATAAAGAGAATTCGTTGTGCAGAGGTCAAGATAGATTTCTTGAGATTTATTTGCAGGCCTAGCCTTCAGAATAGTGAAGTTGTTGTTTGGACGGCAAACCTAACTCCTGATATGACCAACCCTTGAGGAGCCAGTTGTCAAGGCAGGGAAAGACAGTTATCCCTATATGACGGAGGTAGGCAGCTACGACAACCATGATTTTTAAGAACACCCTTGGGGCGGATAACAGGCCAAAAAGTGTAAAACCTGGTAATGATTGTGATTGGAAGGAGAATCATTACGTGGAAGTAGGCATCTTTGAGGTTGTGGCTCGCAAACCAGTCCCCTAATTCCAAGGAGGGAATTATAGCTGCTAGGGATACCATCCTGAATTTCAGATGTCTGACATGCTTGTTCCATTGTCTGAGATGTAGTATCTGCCTCCAACCTATTCTTCTTTGGTATCAGAAAATATCTTGAATAGAACCCTTTCCCCCTGTGTCGAAGTGGGACTGACTCTATGGTTCCTAGACTTAGGAGTGATGAGATCTCCTGTGTCAGCAATTGCTTGTGAGAGGAGCCCCTGAAGAGGGAAGGGGAAGGGGGTTGGAAGGGTGGGGTGGAGGTAAATTTGATAGTACAGCCAAAGTAATGGCTCCAATACCCATTTGTCCAATGTTATAGTCTCCCGTACTTGATGAAAGAGAGAGGTGGTGTTCAAATTGAGGAAGAAGGGTTGTGTCCAGCAGTTGATAAAACCTGGTCATTGGATGGTCTGGACTCTTGACCAAACAATCAAAAATGGTGTTTGGATGATGCTGAAGGCTGGGGTGAAGCAGTCGAGGTAGTTGCAGACTTTCTTTGAAAACCTCTTGGTCAGTGGTTTCGGTGGCCTACGGAAGGCAGAAA